CTGAGACAGAATAATTAGATCCAATAACGTTTTTTGAGGCATTGCCCTCTTCTGACTGATCTTGCTCATCTTGCTGCTGGGTTTTTTTTTGGTTGGGTTTGTGGTGGTGGGTTTTTTTTTTTGTTTGGTTGGTTTTTTTAATTTTCATTTGATTTTTAATTTGATTTTGTCACTGAACACAAGTTCTCACTGTGCTTTCAACAATGATGTCTAGCCTGTTGTGGTTTTGCAAAACCAAGTTCCTTGGGAATGTGACTTCAGCATTATAACTTTCTTCAAATAATTTTTGAACATGATGCGTACCACTCGTTCAAAGTACTCCATACAGGATTCAGTATTTGGCATTTTCAGAATGAAATATGTTCCCTTCAGACTTCTAAGCTGTATCCAAAGTGATGAGGAGACTTTTTCTGTTATTATGGTCATTAGCACAAAGCAGAGACTGATAAAGTAGAAATTATCAATATGAATAATACAGGACATTCTTTGTGACTCTTCCAGGTACTTTTAGTAGTTTACTATAATCGTGCACCTAAGGTGGTATTAGCAATAATTAAAAAACCCAATTAAAAGCATGAGTTGACAAATCAGAAAGAACAATATTAGTCTGAGCCTTGGGTGCTCAACCATCATTTGATAATGGGCTTCATGGAAAATTTTCTTGGAACAAAAGAAAAATGCATGTAACTTTACTTTGAGTCTAATGACAACAGTGATTAATTGCTAGTAATCTCAGAAATGTGTCCAGTCATGTAGTGTTTACAGATCTCTGGTTGTCCTGACGTAGTTGTTCATGAAGCACAGATATTTCAGTCCAGGCACAGCTCATCCCACGTCATTCTGCATTTCCGTGTAACAGCTTGTGTAATGACTGTACTTGCTGTCGGCAGGGGAAGGCTGCAGTCCCCTGAAGAGCACAGTGCCCACCAGTTGTAGCTGTGTAAATCAGTAGGTCAATCAAGCAAAAGAGGTGGTTGATTTTTAAGTAGAAGCCTGAAATGAAGGTTCTTGACATTTCTAATAGTGCTGTGGGATCCTGAGGAGTCTCATAACTTATTCTTAGATTTTTTTCATCTCTTTAAAATTGTGTTGTGTTAACACCAATGAGTGTTAATCTTTATACTTACTATCAACATGGTATATAGTCCTTTCAGCAGATCAGGTTCCAACACTGATTTTTTTCTACTGTAATGCTAGTCTTCCCAAGTAATCATTCCATGTGATGGAGCCCTGCCTTCCTGGAGGTGGCTGAATACCTGCCTACCAGTGGGAAGTAGTGAATTGATTCCTTGTTTTGCTTTGCTTGTGTATGTGGCTTTTGCTTTACCTATTAAACTGATTTTATCTCAACCCATGAGTTTTTTCACTTTTACCGTTCCAGTTCTCTCCCCCATCCCACTGGGGGATAGTGAGCGAGTGGCTGTGTGGTGCTGAGTTGCTGGCTGGGGTTAAACCACAACAAAGGGTAACAGGTAGATTTTAACTTTTTAATGGGGAGCTGCTTCCACACGTAATGGAAAGTGCTCAGTGAAAGATGGCATAATTAGTCTGCGAAAGGAAAGAATGACTCTAACAAGGAGAAAGTACCTGAGGAGGGCCTGAAAGTAAGCTATTTAGCTAATACTTTAAGTGGAGAAGGAGGAATGGGATGGACTGTTTACATCCACATTCTGGTTAGATACAAATGGGGCAAGATTATGTCAAGGCCACCAAGGAAGATACTGAACTAATCAACGGAGGCAGTGAAAGTTGAGGCATGCTCTTGGGTGGGAATTTTTGTTGTGCATTGGCAGAAAAGACTTTTCAGGAGGCAATTTGAGGAGCTAAACAGCAAGATCTAGACAAAGGTTGGATTTGATTCTGTGAGAGGGTTGAAGTTGCTGCTGAGCAAAGGATCTGTCAAGGTGATGAGTGCAATTACCTGGAAAAGACTTTGAGAGGATATTTGGAGTGGAGGAGATGATAAATAGCTCTATTTTAACAGTATTGAGTTTGCTCTGAGCTTACTGCTCTGTTGACAAGCTATTCAAAATTCTGTGGCAGCATTGAAAAGGTGACTCAGTAACCGATTTGCCCTTTGTAGAACCAATATATATAAATATTAATTTTCTTTTATAGCACAGTTGTTTAACACAATTACTGGTTAAGTGTGTTTTTGAAGTTATTCAATGAAATAAGTTCTGGTATAAGTATTATTATTAAACAAATTAAAGATTTTAAGGTGGTTGTTGTGGGTATTAGTATGAACTATAAACTACCAAATTTGAAAAATACTTTTTTTTTTAATCTATTTGTTTCCTTTTGGGAGGAGCCCTTCACAATAATGATAGTAAACCTTGATACTATGGAATATTGTTGATGGAGCTTAGATATGGGAAAAATAATTCTCTTTTCAGCCATAACTCAGAGGTGTACTGAGTCAACACCAGAAGTTATAAATAGTAAGAACTCACAATAATAGTGAGTAAATAGTGAGTTAAATAGTATCTAAACCCTATGTCTTGTATATTTGCATTTGAAAAAAAGATATAAAATGTGCAAGAAAGCTATTTTTGGAGGAAAGGGTGTCTATGCCATATAATTCTGTTATCTCATGATTTTGATTTTACTGTATTTTTAAATGAAAGTAAACTTAGAAAAGATATTAAGTTTCTGTGCTGTACATGTTCTTGATTACTACAAAACTGTATGCTTACTTTATTGAAACATTGCAGATAAGGTGTGTCTTTCTATGACATACTGGTGGCCATATTTTGACTTCACTACTGCATATGTGTTTCTGAGATGAAACAAATAAAAGCCTGGTTGACAACGACAGAGCAGGATTTGATATTCCTTGAAAACATGTTAATATGGTGGGATATTCCTGATCTACTCTAGGTGATCCTGCTCTGGCAGGGGGGTTGGACTAGATGATCTCTAGAGGCCCCTTCCAACCCCTACCACGCTGTGAAACTGATAGCAGCTTTCCCTTCCCATTGCCGTTGGTGTCAATGGACTTAACTCGTAATCAGCCGGTTAAACAAGTTTTGGGTTTGAGGTGGATGCTTTAGTATGAAATAAGAGGTTTCTACTCGTGCTGTTGCTTGGCTTGAACATGGGACCAACAGCTCCAGGCGTGGGCTTACATAGAGGTGAAGGAGCAAAGCCCCTGCAGTGTGTTTCCCATGGGTTAGAGGGCTCTGAATGTGGTGTAGTGATGTGCCCACTTCTCACTGTGTAGTATTTCTCTGATCTCTGCAGAATACTATATTCCTTTATAGGAGGAGCAGAGTACAGTGTTGGAGCTCAGCCAGTTCCAGACATTGTTCCTAAAAGTATTAAATAAGCCACTAAATATTAAGGGCCATATCTTCACTGCAAATACTTAAATTTGTATACCCTGCCAAATTTTATGAGCTTTTCTTAGTAGGAAGCCCTGAGATATTAATTTAATAGGATGTCTCATTTTAATCTGCTAAAAACTTTCAAGGAAAATAGTGGTTGAAAATGGTGGGTTTGTCCTCTTATTGCTGATGATTCTTATGCCGCAGCATTGCCACTCTGTATTGATGGAGGAAAGTTGAACTGTTTCATCTACTTCTGTTCTTCAGGTTCAGTGAAATGGAAAAAAGTAATCATACATCATTAGTTAAACTCCCAGCGAGTTTATGTATTGTAATCCTTGTTTCCATTTTGATACTGTCAAGGATGTGTATAAACAAAATACCTTTATTCTGCTTCCAATGCAGTCTGTTTGATTTTGGTTGTCGTATTAACCAGGAGCAGAATTATGCCAATATAGCTTATTCTAATACTGTTCACTGTAAGGCAAAGCTAGTAATGGTGGGGAAAAGAGTGTATCAGTGTGGGGCTTTTCTGTTTAAGTAAAAATTTTGTTCAGTGCTCGGAACTATTGCGGGAAGTGTAGCTCTGTGTCCCTGTGCTGCACTGTCACTGGCCTGCCTCCCCCTTTCTGTCCCTTTCTCCCTGTTTTTCCTTTTTCTTCAGTAATTTTCCTTTATGCAAGAGCTGTCCTCTAGAAGTCTTTTTGAGACTTCTAAGAATTGCAGTGAAACAATCTGCTTGATACTTCTGAGGAAAATGAGGAAAACTTGTTGGTTGTGTTGCATAAGTTCTCCTGAACAATTCCAAGTGTTCGAAGGCTCAAGATCTTTTTCATTTTCAGTTTCTTTAAAGACAGGTCCCTCAAGAGTGGTGCTGGGATAGACACAGGATGAACTTACTTTGCAACTGGGAAAAACAAACAGAAAGCCCAGTGTACTGTAACTATGCTTGTTTGTGTAGGAAATTAAAGTGATCTCTATTTCACTCAGGTCAGTTCTCAAGAGTGTACAGGAAAACTGATAATTTGCTAAAGGATTTCCTTTTGGATTTTCAGCAACATGTTTGATTAACAGAACACTGCTGTTCTGACCTGATGAACACAGCTGTAAGGCTGCAGATTAACTTTTAGGGGACCGGTGGGGTTTTTTTTGGTTCGTGTGTTGTTTTGAACACTAGAAAATTGTGGTGAAGGCTAAACTGACACTTGTAGAAGTGCTGTGAGAACTGTGTTTATGTTGTGTGTGAAAGTATCCAAAGGGTAGAGTGTATCAAAACAGCTACGTTGGAAAAGGAGCAAACTTTGTTTTCTTTACAATAGTGTTCAATATATCTTCAGAAAAAGCTACTTGCTGTGAACACAGCTCTCTGGAGCCTGGAAGCCTTCTTACCTCTAGGGAAGAAGTAGTATTTCAGTTTGCAAGACATTGCATTTGTACCAGATGAGTTTTGAACACAGATTACAGTATTATTCACTCATTTGATGTCCTTTATTGTGTGGCGTAATAACAGAGCTGAAATCAGCAGATTTTACAAGCATTACGAAAATGGATTTTATTTCAATTAGGAAGTGCTTTTGATGTTTTGCCCGAATCTGTTTTTATTAATTAAATTAATTGGGATGAATGTTAATGGATTAATGAGTTAATTAGTGCCTTTCTTGCCTTTTGATACAGGAATCAGGAACTTAAAGACTTGGGAGAACTTGCACCTCACTGGGACAATATGCGTAAAAGTGTTATTGCTCACTGTGATCAGATGTTGGGCGTGTACCAGGATACTCTGGCAGAGCTTGGGAAGCATACAGGTATGAACAGTAGCTTCTCTTCTGGAGCAGTTAAGAATTAATTAGATGGATGGTAACTAAATAGTGGCATATTCAGCAGAAATAAAACACATAAAAATGAAGTATTTGAAATCGTATTTCTGGGATACTCATAGGTGTCCTATTTCCTCATCTATTTTTTTTTTTCCATGCATTCCAGCAGTTTTTCACAGCTAACATGGTTACACAGCAGCCAAAAACAAATTGAAGAAGTGTGTGTGTGTTTGAATTGAATATTCTGCTTTGCTAGTGTTGAATACCATCTGCCAATTGAAACCAGCCTTAGCGGGGAGGGAGTTTTGTCAGTTTTTCTTGAAACCTAACTTAAGTTACATTTAACAGTCTGCAGGATAACATCTACAGTTGCAGGATACATCTAGCTATGGTTTGCATATCTTTAGTGTAGTAGTTATTTCCCATGTTGTGCCCAAAAAAGCACAGCATTAATATGGGATTGGCAGCCTGTCCTCAGTCCAGAAACAGCAGCATGTGCTGCTTCGCCTTTTTTCATGTGGAGACAGTGGCCTTGTATTCTGATGTCCACTGAGTGGGTGTTCAGTCAGTATCTGCTGGAGCCCTGTGGTCAGGGACTATAAGGTAGGGTCTGCATGCCAGTGGAATAAGCGTCAGTGACATGTGCAGGAAAAGGCAGCTGGTCTTTTCCTCTTGTAGTAACTCTTATTAAAACAACAAGGAAAGACTGCAAAACAAATTATATCTTCCTTTGAATTCTCGCAAATCATTCAAGGAACAGATGATAATTCTTTTCTGTTTTGTGAGACTACTGAAATTATTTCTTGTACAACACTGTTTTGAGCAAACAAATATTTCTGTCTGTTTATAGCATGCTTTTCTGCCTCTTCCTGCTGGTGTGCCCCCACCCCCCACCTCCAGTTTTTGAGATATTCTGGAAGGAAATGGGCGCATTTGTTCTGAATTACTGCAAAGGTCTTGCTGCTTTCTTGCTGGTGTCAGATTTCTAACACCACTCTTCACAATCACCATCTCAAACGTGTTTTTGATGAGGGGGCTGCCTCTGCTGTTTTGCTCTGTATCCTCACCATTAGATATTCCCACTGGGGCCTTACTCCCACAGCTCTGTGTGTGTAGGCATGTAGCAGTGCGTGTCAGAGGTAAACACTGTGTATTGTGTTACATATACATAAGTTTGCAATCTAGAATATTTCTGAAAAAGGGATACATTATAGTTAGGAATATTTGTAAAAACTTATAAAAAATCATCATGAAAAATGGTAACATCTTTTGAAATATCTGATATATATTTAGGGGATAGTTTTTGGTGTTAACTAATTTTATTTTTTTTGACGTAGACCGAACAGAACTTTTTTTGTGTGTACTGAGTAATGAAGCCATCAGGTTTTAGTTGAAGGTACAATTAAAATGCATAGCAGACTAATTTCTTCTTATAGAGAGTTGGGCACATTTACTTTTATTATAATGAATCTGCTTCATTTAGTAGGTAAGACATAAATCTTTCCCTTCCAAAATAGGCATTAAAACTTTTATCACTCATCCATCATCTTCTAATACAGGACTGAGCATGGTATTTCTCATTCCAGTTTGCTCTGGAATAGCTTTTCCTGGTCACAGGAAAAGAGAAATCCTGGTTTAGTGTATGAACAAAAAACAGTCTCTAACTGAAACTGCACATTTTTGGAGCAGTTGATCACCTGCTGAAATGTTTGGTGTGAAAAAGCTGATCTGTTACCGTGAATGTTGTATAAAAATCGGCATTTTGGTTGCCAAAGTGTAATTTCTTGCATTTATGATTGTTTACCATCATCAGAATATTCCAGTTCTAATTTGAATCTCATGCCTCCTGATCCACTGTAACAAATTCATGTTTCTGTGTTTTACCTAATAGATAGATATTTTTAATAGTTTGCTAGTTACATTTTGAAAGTACTCCATAAACTATCATATGCAAGGCAATAAATACAGATTATGAAGGAATCAACGTAATAAATTACCTGCTGCAGGGAAATATTGAAATGACCTTTTGAGATAAAAAAAAAAAAAGAAAAAGACAGTGTAAACTATTAAGCATAAATCTTACAAGGCCTTTATTGTGCCAAGTGAAATTGAAAAGGGTTGGTGATGTTAGATGACTTGTATTAGCTGTGGTTTGGGAGAATTGCAGTGGACTAGGGAACCTGAGATTACTGAGAAGGACAGAGCCAGCACATACAAAGAAGTGGGGGAACATTTTTCTAAAAACAAAACCAAGCAGAAAACAAAAGCAACCTAATAATTGCAGTAAAGTTGAGAAATAAAGAGGTGTTCATCTGGAGGCCAACACTCAGGTACATACCTAGATCTCATTTCTTCAATGGCCCTTTTTTGCTCCCCTTGCTGATATGGTGCTGGTAAGATAGTTTTTTGATACCTGGAAAAACCTTGATTTTATATCTTGTGTGAAAAGTCACTTTAACATTCAAAAACTTATTTTATTGGGATCAGTGGGATGTGTACACAGTCCTTCTAATGAAGACTGGAAACTTAGGTATTCACACGGTAGAAAATGCTAAGATCAGAGATGTGAGTACAACTAATTCAGACTTTTCAGGTCAACATATTTCAACACAGTCTTGCCCATTGTCAGACATACATGCCAAAAAAGATTTTGCTTTACAGTTTGGCCTGTGTAGGTTTCCTGCTTTATTTTAGCACAATGCCTGAGTTTGGATTGAGGCAGTTCTCTACGTTCTGAAACTGCTTGAAAATTGCTCTGCTCTGCAGTACCTGTGTGTCTGAGTTTCAGATCTGCTCAGAAACGGGCACCCATCCTAGTAGGGGTAGTTTGCCATCAGCACTACTTCTACCAAGGTTCGCTTTCTAAACGAGATCCAGTTTCTGTTATCTGGTGTCAGATGCAATATTCCTGAGTCAGGTTGTTATTTTGGGAAGCTTTGTTTTAAGACAAGTCCAACTGGCTGCATTCCTCTAGGAAAGTATTGGAGTGCTATTGCCTCTGTCTTTGGCTCACTACCATATTGGCAACTAGAGATGTGTGGAAGCACTAACTCATTGGCACTCTTCTCCCTTCTTGATACATCAAAAGCAGAGTTAATGTTAACGTCTTTTGCATTTTACGTCGTTACTCACTGAGCAATTGCTTTCCTTTAACAAGGAGCTTTTTGCATGTATCTTTTCACAAACAACTACATGTAAGTCACCTAGGTGCAAGCATCTCCAATCGCCTTTTGTACTCAGGCTAGTTCACTCGAAAGCAGTGCACAGAAGCGGAGATAGCATCTGTAAGTAAAAATCTTTCCAAAATATTCCCACGTTCCTCCTATGCAGTCACACATTGGATTTTCTGAGGCATACCTACCTCACACTGAACTGAGCTATTTGTGGAATTTAATGGGGAAGGCTGTTGCTAATAGACCACTTAATTTGTTTTTGATAAGAGAGATTGCAGTGAAAGTATCAGGAGACTGCATTAGTGTTAGACAGCAGTTTGTGGTATAGCAGCATATTTAGTAAAAATGGAGGTTTAAGGATGTTAAGTGTTTCAAATTTGAGTTGTTTTGGCAAACACTTTTATCCTCAAAAATGGGGGAGAATTTTAGAGAATGCCAAGCATTTTTGTTTCAAGGGAACTTACTAACAGGAATCTAAAAGGGTTAAGTAACGTCAAAGCAAATCATTTCAGGTGGATCTAAACCATAAATTTCGTGATTCTGGGAGGGAGAACAACTGGGAAACTTCTTTGTTTGTTTTAGTTTGACCTGAGATGATATTCCACCCTCCCCTTCCCTTCTCCCTGCACTGATTTTTGTGGGAGTTTGTTTGTTTGTTTGTTTGGTGGGTTTTTTCTTTTTTTTTTTTTTCTATTTTAGTCATCAAATTGGAAATTCTATTATTCTAACAGCCTTAGAAGGAGAAGACAATTGAGGTTAAGGCAATTCAGTATTGCTCTGCAGAACTGGACACTATCCCTGCCTCTGTCACAAAGTTCCTGTGTGACACTGGGCAAGTCAGACTTCAGAAGGGCTTAACGTGCCACTGCCTTTTTTGGAAGCCTGGCAGTAGATGCAAGCTGTTTTGCAGAAGTACTCAGTACTTAGAGTTGTAATTCAACTCAGTGGGAGCTGTGCTTCCAAAATGGAATGTGATGCTGCATTATAATGTGTGCTCTGCAGAACGAGATCCTGCATATCTCATATTTAGGCATTGTTTCTGAAATGCCTCGACCTTAAGTTATTCTCTGCCATTAGAATGGATAAAATTATAACCATTTTACTCAGTCAGTTTAGATTATTCTATAAATATTTGTAAAGCGCTTAGAAACTGTAGCGATGCATGGAACAGGCAGTTTTGAGGAAATTAATAAACCTGTCTTTTATGGAAGGCTTGAGCAATATATTTGAATCCAGATATCAAAGTAAAAGTTGGAAACAGGATATTGTATTGCTCCTAAGTGGAGCAGCAAAGGCCCTAAACATTCAGTGAGCTGGAAAAAGCTACTATGTAATACATCATTGAAGTTTTATCTCACAGCTCCTTTTCAGGTAGATGTCAGATGAAGGTTGCATCTATATTCTGTTTTTTTATAACTTTGAAGAGTTTAATCTTGCAACAGTAACAACAACAATTTTAATAGAGGAAATGTAGTTTTCTTGGTCCTTAAATACAATTTACCAAGTTATTTAAAACCAAACGAACTGTACGGAAAATTAGTTTTATCATATGGATGACACTGGCAAACACAGATTGAGGTATTAATTCTGCTGCATAGATCTCTCATACCTGAGTAAACAGAGTAACTGATAGCAGTGAGTCGTTACTATCCCATATGTTTTTGGCCCGGGATGGGAAGGGATTCTTGCTTCACAGGTCTTCCCTGAAAAGAGGTATAACATGACTTGGCAGTGCTGCATGTGTTCTATTCTGGCTCAGGACAGAAGTGTACTCCAAGTAGAGCAGGCTCTTCTCCTCTTCTCCCTCCTGCTTGTCTTTTGCTGGTCCCTTTTAATCTGCTGTCATTTCACTCTCCTCTTAGTCTGCCAGTGTTTCCTTCTCTCAGATCCAGTTACCATTCCTTGATCTCATAAATAATCTGCCCCCTTTCTGTCTTCTTCCCTAATGATTTACCATCTCCTCATCTGCACTATTCCCATTGCTTTGCTTGTACAGTTGGAATTCCCTTCACTGCTCCCATGATTTTGTCTTTCTGTTCTTTCCAGATGTTGGTTTTAGCCTGCTATTCCTCATCATCAATGACTCCTGGTTTTAGTCTGCATCCCCAGATTTCCTATCAAATCTGAATCTTAGACTCCTGTCAAATGCTTTTCTTGCTACCTTTGCTCTTAACCTTTGTTAAATTATTTTTTTAAGTTACTAAGCTTAGGTAACAGCCTAAGCTGGTCTGGAGTATCATTGGTGCCCTCTGGCAATGTAATTTGCATTTGGAGGCTCATAATGGTGTTGGACTCATGGTGGAAGTTTCAACAGATAACCTATAGCAAATAGTGATTAAGCAAGTAAAAAAAAGAATTTAAAAGATCTTCAACTCTTTCTTTTTTTTTTTTTTTCAAGGAAAGGTTAAACTTTTCTAAATATTTTCCTTTTTTTTTTAATTCTGTGTGAATCAGAGGAATTTTATTCAAAATGATCAGTAGTTGGCAAAATGATAGGGTGCTGAAAAAATGCTCAATGTAAATGTTGAGCTGCTGAGTGAGAAGCTATGACCACCTCTCTTTTCTAATCTGTACCCTTTTGTTTCATATATATGCTGTATCAAATATCTCCAGGTAAATTACATTTTCATGCAGTCAGTCTTTAATTATATTCCTCTATACCATCATAGAGTAACTCATCATCTCGTACTTTGAAGTATGCAACCAGTTTTATTTTTTTTTCCAAATGTTTTGTTTCTTGTGATTCTGACTTCTTAGAAAAAAACCTAATTCATAGCTTTTCTTAAGCTAGTTTATGTTTCTTTATTTTGCACTTTCTAGGAAGGATGCATACTTGTAACATAATACTTTTAAGAATAAAAATGTTACTTGGTGAAAATGTAGTACCATCATATCTCTGTACCCCTGTGTTTCTAGCACAGAATAAACATAGTGCACCCTAACTGTGATATTGTTTCCAGCAGACTGCAGACCGATTTCAGACAGCAAGAAAAAATGTCTATCACCTAGAATTAAAAAATTAGATTGTTCTGTGACTTAAAAGCTGTTTTGTTACTTCCAATATGGATACATGCTGAGACTCAGTTAGTGAACCACTCTTCTCCTAATATACAATTACACATTAAAAGCAAATTGAAGAACACTTCTAATGTACAACTATTGTCCTCGCATTAAGAAGAAGACAAAACATCTGCTGGGTACTTAAGATAATGATCCTTTAAACTTTTGTTTTTCAGGTTCTTCCTTCAAATCAAGCTGCAGCAAAGGAGAAAAAACATTAGAATTCATCCCAATAAATCTTCATCTGCAAAGAATGCATGTGCATAGTCCTCGTTTGAAAGGTAAAGTATATTCTGCAAAGTAATTCTCTAAGTATGACAAAATATTCTTTGAACTAAAATTAAACTTGTAATTGAGAGGTAGGGTTTCCATTTTAGCCTTTTTTAAGTTCTAAATAATTTATATATCCAGTTTCAAGGATGAACATTAAGCAGACATGCTTTCAGATGAAACCTTAAAACCACAATAGAAGTGAAAGGTATGCTGTTAGAGAGTGCAATCTTGGTCATTTTTAATTTTTCCCTTAATGGTGGCAAGAGTCTTGTTAAACTTTTTAGATGGGACATAACGATATTGCAGATAAAAAGCATGGAAAGTAATATTATTACATTGATTAGGGATGTTTTCAGTAAATTTATGTGCCATTTCAGCTTACGTGGATTTGGAAGAACACTGAGGAGAAAAGAATGTCACAGGAAATACAGTGACTTTTTAAGAAAATTCTGGATTAATTTTGTGTTGCATGTGTTTTGCTAGTCAGTGAAATTTGTGCAGTATAAGCTGGTTTGTAAGGTCCTGCAGTAGGGCTTGATACAGAAGGTTTCTTGTCTGACCAGGCTGTTGCTTGGTTTTTCACTTGTTTTGGTGGTGGTTTAGTTTTTTTAATAAAATAAAGCTTCCAAATTCATTATGTAAAAATCTGTACTGCTGTTAGGTTTGAAGTGTTTAACTTTTCACTTTGTTTAATGGGCTGTAGAAACTTTCTGTGTGGTGTTTTCCTGCCTTTGTTTTGTGTACGTATCTGGAACCTGCCTGTCTTCCTGAAGGGTTTGATTTCATTCTCTCAGACCTGTGCACCTGCTTCTAAAACCCAAGCTTTTGGTTTTGGTTGTTGTTTGGTATATTTATAAATCAATTGAGTATGTACTGTCTGTAGAGGACCACACTTCAGTGAATCATGAGATCAAACTGACCAGCTTGCCCATCCTCCACATTTCTGTACAAATTCTGAAACCTGCACCCAGACTGCCACTGAGATTGATCAGAAGTCCTGAGTCTGTGCTGAAACTTAGGAATCAGGTCCAAAGTCAAACCTATGCAAGGGATTTCTCTGCCTCATCTTCTGAAGCCGCAGCTTCTGGATACTGACTGCAGATCTCAAAAAACTATGGAGAGGTTAACTACATTTCTTTTGAACTCTTTTTAAAATAAATTCCAGGTTATCAGGCTCATTTTGTTTCTGTGATACTTCAAACAAATAAGTAAATGCAGAGTATACGTTCACTGAAATGTACTGGTAACCTATGTATGGTTAAAAACACTCTGTTGTGGCAGTGCAGAACTAATACTTTCATGATTCATACTGACACACCGTACAATGTTCAGTAAGATTCACGTCCTTCTAGGGTCTGGGCTTAATTTTTCATTGTGATCCATAATGTCAGAGTAGTGTTAAAATAAGCCAGTTTTGCCTGTCTTGTTTTTAAGGAAGTTTTTTTTTTTTTTCCCCAGAGGTAGAATCATAGGTTGGGAGGGACCTGAAAGACCATCTAGTTCCAACCCCCCTGCCACGGGCAGGGACACCTTCCACTGGACCAGGTTGCTCAAAGCCTCATCCAGCCTGGCCTTGAACACTTCCAGGGATGGGGCATCCACAGCTTCGCTGCACAACCTGTTCCAGTGCCTCACCACCCTCTCCCTGAAGAACTTTCCTGATCTCTAATACATTTCCTCTCAGAGAGTGCCTGGATGAACTCACCAGCCTGGGTGATGCTAGTTGCAGGTTTCCATTAAGGACAGTGTTACTTGTAAACTGGATATATCCTATTTCTTAGGAAACCTTAATGCTCCCAGCATTGCCTGTGCCTAAATCAACTTATTCAGTGCTACCCTGTGCCACGTAAGCATTTGGTTATGTTAAGTGCAAATATTTCACTGATTATGCTGAAAATACTGCGAACTTCTAATGTCTTCTGGAAAGGGGGGTATTTTTCTCTAATGTCATCTGTGATTCTGATTAATATAGAATTTACTTTCTGCTGGTTGCATGTAGTTTTAGCAGCACCCTTTACAGATAAAAGAGGTGGTTGATACATACATATGAGCAAATTGTAGTGCAGTGAGTACTTTGTTCATAAACTGAGATGTATTAAATTTGCTGTCACTGTAGAAACACAAATTACACTCTGTAAGGTTTTCACCTTATAAATACTCTCTGCATCTGTGCATGTTGTAAAACACTAAGTACAAAAAATAATTACAGGAGTATCATTCTGTGTACTGCTGCTGTTCATCCACTTCCGAGTTGGAACATGGGAACTTCCAGTTGTCTGTTAGGTACTGTATTGGTTCAATATTTTGATATTTATTTTACTAAACAGTGGTGCCCTCAAACATTTTAATAAGATGGAGATATATTGTGACACAATATGTCAGCACAAATATTAATTTAACTGATGTTTTGAACTTATTAAATTAACTCAAAAGCGTTTTTAGACTTGTAATGACTAAGGGTGGCCAGAACCTTAATTTTATGTGTTTTCAAGAAAACCTCTATGGGAACAGGGCATTGTATGTTTATTTACTAAATAAAAAAGTGGAATGAAATATGCCACTTACTTAATCACCCACAGCTATTACACTACTTGAGTTTTGTTTTGCTTTTAGTGATTTTTCTCCTTTCTCCTCCAAAACCACTTTGCTTGTGGAATATGGTTAATCCATAATTGAAAAGGGTACTGAAAGAGATAAATGTTAAAATCATCTTCTAAATTTAGAACTTTATTTACATTATAAAACTCCCTCTTTTTTTTTTTTAGCTAATATTCACTCCACTGACATGGGAATGAGATAACACTGTTCTTGTTACACTCCAGTTTAGAGATTGCGAAATGTCAATAAAGAGACCTTGTGTTAAAATGAGGAAATTTCTGGCTACACATATTTTTGGAAGACTGACACCCTAGTTATGGGGAGCTCTTTTTATTTCTCTATATAGGAAATGGGTTCCTCAATATGTTTAGGATATTCTGGCAGCACTATAGTATAAATATAACAAAAAGTAACCGAAGGTTTTTTCATTCACCTTTGGCTGGAGAAGTGATTTCTGTATTTATCGTGTAGCTGCTCACCCATCTGTTTAGCTTACTGAAGGATGTTTCATTTTATGAGCATTGAAGAGCTGTGTCTTGTGTTTGATGTATACACTTTGAAGAGTTTGTAGCTATTGCTAGTCATTGTGGAGGAAGCAACACTTAGACAAGTTGGTCTTTCTCATCTTGTGCTTTGCTTGGCGTATGTCAAAGGGCACCTGGAATATAACCAGGAAACTGACAGAAAGTAGGAAAAAGAAAGCATGTGAACATTCACAGAGGTGGTGATTAAACAAGCTGATGAGCTGTAAAGCTGTCCTTAAGCCTCACGCTGTCAGATATCTTAATTTTGGTAACGCGAGATAGGTTTTAATCCCATCACGTGTATGCACTTGGATATGCGCTTTTGTGTTCCACGTGTTCAAAAACAGGTTTCCTTTTAGTCAACTTTGATTTGGGTTGTTATTGGGTGCTGACATGGAACAGAAAGTAGCTGTGTGTTTAAACTTCCCAGTAGGAAGAGCTTGGAGAAACGTACTCTTTCGTTATGGGATAACTGTATCCCTATGCATTTGATAAACACTACATTTTGTTCTGTTCATCATACTACAGATGTTAAATTTATATATTGCTGTAGCTTTGCTTTTGGCCCTGTTGATACATTGAGTGTGGTTGCTTTAAATAAATTTGATGGACTGAAGAGATGTTTATTTTGTTTCTGGCCAGTGTGAGACACTGACTGGTTTCTGTGAAGGCAAGCAGGTTCCTTCAAATTTGGGATTGAACTGTGCTTGACATAAAAATCCCTCAGTTCTTAAATTGGTCTGATAAACCTTAGGTTTATGGAACGTCTACTGTGTCACTGTGTGTCACCATCTTGCAAAAGATCCGTTTTATTCAGGAAGGAGTGATGAACAAGTAGTTTATACTTCGGCATGGTGAAGGAATTGTTTTCTGGTGAGCGTGTAGCTGGCGTTAGTGTTTCACTTGTGTAAGTAGGACGTGAGTGTATCTGAGTCATAGTAATGAGTATGAAGCGATGATTGATTTTTAAAGCTCAGTTTTCTTGAACTGTAATCTTTTGCATTTTCTTCCTTCAAGTTCTGAAGTAATTTTTTGAGCTTGTGTAAGTAGGACGTGAGTGTATCTGAGTCATAGTAATGAGTATGAAGCGATGATTGATTTTTAAAGCTCAGTTTTCTTGAACTGTAATCTTGTGCATTTTTTTTGAGGAAGGGTTGAGGATTTTTTTTAACATCTATTAATTAATAATTTGGGGGGAGCATGCTGACGATATGATACAGCCCCTACAACTCTGCTGCATTTTAAGCTTTGTCTCCACTGCAGAGTTGTCAGCAGTAGTCTGTTCTCTAACTGGGTGATAGTTCTGAGTTGCTGGAGCATTCCTGTGCCAGTGCACTCGTGCTGACACTGCATATCCTTCACAAGGATCTGCATCGATGTATAAATGGACCATGTCACAGGCCTTCCTCCGGGTCTTGCAGCACTTGCCGGCATACTGCGCTCTGGAAAGTGGGAGTAAGGCTGCCCTGTACCTGTCACTAAAGTCACAGACCTTTTCTTCTTCTTTCCCATCCTCACTCTCCTGTTTGCTTGCAGGGGCTAGGTGCTCAGCTGCCCTGGCTGTTTGTGTCTCAAACAGCTGCCCCTTGACCATGCTAAGAGGAGGCCATAGGCTGAAGGAAAGCTTCCTTCTTAGTAACTCCCCCCAGAGTAGCTATAAGCCATTTTCAAAACAGAGTCAGAAAAAGCACCAGGCTTTAGACTTTTAAATGTCATTTCATGAGTTATCCGTAAACATATTCAGAATCCATTATCTAGGTCACATGTTGGGTTATCTTATTTTGATTTCAAGCCACCATTGTTTTAAGCAGTAGAAATACTTATTGTCAAGTACAGATAGCCCAGGACCATGTATTATGGATAAATCTCTATGAAGACGTGAAAGAATGGGCTATTTAAGAAACGTGAAGCTCACATGAGGCTAATACAATTATGTCACTTCTCCTTATAAGTGGAAATTGAAGAGTCACCAATTCATTAGGGTTCAAATCAATTTGAGCGAGTATGCTCTGAGATTCAGCTCTGGAAGTAAAACATAGTTCATTAACTGTGAATCATTTGTACAGTGTTCTTGCTTTTAGGGATATTTATCATCAGAATGCAAGAAAAGTTCTATTTTAGGAGCGGATTAGATTTTAATTTACATGGAAATCTTCCTTGATGAATAAAGGTTCACAAAAAAAAAAATCCTCTAATGTTTACATTTTAAGAAGGAGGTACTCTGACCTGTATTTTTATTCCTCCAGCTTGGGCACAAAACAGGTACTGCTTATTGCAGATGTACTTTCTACAAATGTAAAGTTAAACTTCGAAGGAATAATTATTGTGGTTTGGGATGTAATTAAATCTTCATCTCTGCACAATCATTCCCAGCAAAAAAGGAGAGGCTGTTTTTAAGAAGGTGTTTCGTCGTCAGTTGTGTAAGCATACATCCATGAGAAAAAGTTCATCATGTATGTCACTAGACATCAGCGACATACAGAGAGTAACAACACATTGTCTCAGCAAAAATTTCAATAGTATTGTTATTTCCCATTCTGGTAACTTTTCAAGTGAAAACAATTGGCTTGCCCTGTGTTTATAATTGTGTGTAATAAGTACATGTATGTCACAGAACAGAGCTCTTCGATTTAGCATTAAACAGCTCATTATATCTGAAAGTGGAAGCTAAACAAATTCAAACTTGAAAAGAAGTGGAGAATTTCGTCTAGTCAGATTGATTAATCATTGGGGCAACTTCCCTGAGAATGCAATATGTTCATTGTCACTCGAAGTCTTCAAAGCAAGATTATCTGTCTTGGGTGGGTTTTTTTTTTGTGTGTTGGTGGGTGGAGGGGTTTTTTGGTGGGGTTTTTTTTTGTTGGGGGGGGGGAGTGGGTTGTGTGTGTGTGTGTTGGTTTGGGTTTTGGGGTTTTTTTTGGTGTTTGTTTTTTTTTTAATGCCTTCACTCAACCAGAAGACATAAGCTTGATGCAGGAATCATTAGCTGTAATTCTGTAGCGTGTATTATTCAGGCAGTTAGACTATTCTATCATAATGATCTCTTTTGACTCTAAAGTGCATGAATCTCTGCATCTCAACATGACTACAAGTTAAATAATGGAAGGGGTAATAAAGTGAAATACACACAGAGCTAATTTACTTGGCAGCTTTGTAAACTGCAGAGCTAGAATATTGTTCTACACTGTGGCATATAATTTAGATGTAGCAATAAATCGGGGAATCTCTCTAAGGTGTGCAGGTTGCTGTATGGAAAGATTGATGAGCTCTTGGGCCTCCTTGAGACAGTTTCTTGATTATTGCTTGGGCATAATATAGACTTGTCCTCATGTCTTACAGAGTAGATCTAGTGTGGCCATACCTTGGGCATAGGCACGTGCAAATCTCTGTGCTTGTCTCTTCCCACTCCAGATGCTCTGTATGATGTCATCACCGTGGGAGCCCCGGCAGCCCATTTCCAAGGATTTAAGAATGGCGGTCTCCGAAAACTGCTGAGTAAATTTGAGGCAGAAAGACGAAAGTAAGTATTTTTGCAAGTAACTAGGAAAATATCATTAAAGTTGCATTAAAATGTTATGAGCTCACTGAGTGACAAAAGTTTACCCTGCTGAATGCATGGAAAATTAAAATCTAGTAGGACTAGACAAGGGTGCATTCATCAAATATGTACTTTATCTTCTCTGCTTTGCTGGACTGCAAAATTGAAGCACAGTTTACTTTTAGTGTCAAGACTTATTATAAACACTGACTCAAAATTGTGAAATTGTCTTCCCATATTTCAGGAAGCTTGAGGAATATTAGTGCTTGAAAACATGCTGTTCAGCATGAGAGATCTCTTTGGTAATTCTTGTACTAAGTGGCAAGTAGCTCTAGACAATTTTTCAATAAAAAAACAGTAGCGTAAGGTAGCATCTTCATTTCTGAAAGCCCTGGGCATATGTGAACAAAAAGTACTTTTACTACAACTGTCAAATAAGAAATTACTCTATTACTCTTCAGAAAGCCAAAATGAGACTAAACAAAGATAAGCCCTAACTAGGGTTTCAGTTTATTGCTGTGCTCAAACATTTTTTTAACCACTGAATATGTGCAGAAGTGTTGGTTGCATATTTTGTTAACTAAGAATTGGTCATATTTGTGTTTGTTGCTATGGCTGTTAAGTTTCAAGCAGCCACAGCTGTCCCTGGCAGCACCCATAGTTGTGATACATGGACTAACTGTGCCTACCCAATGCAATCAGTGGCACAGCATTCAAAAGGGAATGCAGGAAGTACTGTATGTGTGCTGATCTAAATCATTACAGTGTTCCATAGAAAATTAATTCCATTATATTCAATGTTTGAAAAAGTTTCATAAGTACAGTATCATAAAGAATAAAAAGAAAAATTATAAAAATGTACTGTTGACTTCTTGGTTGACTAGAAGTTGGCATCAATGCCAAAACCAAACAAAACCAAGCAGATATATTTGCTTTGAAAACTGTATTATTATTTTTTCTGTTTGCACTGCATGACATAAATACCCTATTAGATCTTTAAAAATCTTTCATTTCCCTGGCTTCCTTTGGTGATAAAACTTGCCAACGAGACATGAATATCATTGATCACATGAAACCCATGACTGGTCTTTCTGTTAACAGTAGATCACTGGGTAAAAAACTGGCTGGATGGCCAGGCCCAAAGATTGGTGGTGAATATTGGCAACCAGTCTGCAAGTGGTGTTCCCAGGCTCAGTACTGGGGCCAGTTCTGTTTAATATCTTTATCATTAACCTGGCTGTAGGGATCAAGTGCACCCTCAATAAGTTTGCAGATGACACCAAGTTGGGTGAGAGTGTTGATCTGCCTGAGGGTAAGAAGGCTTCCCTTAAGGATCTGAACATGCTGGATTGCTGAGCTGAGGCCAGTTGTATGAGGCTCAACAAGGCCAAGTGCTGGGTCCTGCACCTACTTGGGTCACAACAACCCCATGCTACAATGCTACAGGCTTGGGGACGACTGGCTGGAAAGCTGCCTGGCAGAGGAGGACCTGCCTGGTTGGCTATATATGAGCCAGCATTGTGCCCAGGGGGCCAAGACCACCAATGGCATCTGAGCCGGCATCACAAACAGTGTGGCCAGCAGGACTAGGACACTGATTATTCCCCTGTACTTGGCACCAGTGAGGCCACATCTCAAATCCTGTGTTCAGTTTGGAGCCCCTCGCTGCAAGACAGACACTGAGGTGCTGGAGCATGTCCAGAGGAGGGCAACGGAGCTGGGGAAGGGTCTGGAGCACAAGTCCTGTGAGGAGCAGCTGAGAGAACTGGGGTTGTTCAGCCTGGAGAAGAGGAGGCTCAGGGGAGACCTTATGGCTCTCTACAGCTACCTGAAAGGGGGTTAGAGAGTGGTGAGTGTTGGCCTCTTCACTCAACTGACAAGTGATATGACAAGAGGAAACGGCCTCAAGTTGTGCCAGGGAGGTTTAGACTGGATATTAGGAAAAGTTTATTCACTGAAAGGGTTGTCAGGCACTGGAACGGGCTGCCCAGGGAAGTGGTTGAGTCGTCATCCCTGGAGGTATTTCAGAGATGTGTAGATGTGGTGCTTAGGGACGTGGTTTAGTGGTGGACTGGGCAGTGCTAGGGTAATGGTTGGACTCAGTGATCTTAAAGGTCTTTTCCAACCTAAAGGATTCTATGATTCTATTCTACTGTCAGCTGACTGGTATAGGCAGCACTGTCCTTGTGATGTGGAGGTCTATGATGACCAGTTCTTCCTGATGAAGAAAATGTCTGAAGAAGTTTCTTAAAGTATCTGCTGCTTAACTGTCTGATTAATATAGATGCTTAGTATTTAGTGTTTTTTTTATTCTATTGCATAAAAAGCAGTTAACATCATATATGATATAAAGAACTCTGCAGTTCTAGTCCTTATGGTGTTCAGCTTTCAGAAAATGAACCTGCGTGGTCCCGCACCATATCCACAGTGGCAGATTTCCCAAAATGGATGATAGCTGTGAGGAAAAACTTGAAATTATTATCTGTGATATCTGCTCACTGGAGAGAGAAAACAGGAAAATGCCTTCTAGGGAAGACCCCTAGTCTTTCTTGAGTTCCTGGGACAACACGTACTGCAGTATCTTGTAGGAATTAATAGATGATGCCTTTGTTTCTTAGCTGCCCATAAGAAGGGGAGAGGAGATGATGATGGCCTATACTCCTTTCTTTGAATCCTGCACAATGTTACATGTCCAAAGGCTGGGATGTCAAAGGATACTCAATGCAGCACATTCTCCTCTCATTGCCATTCACCATTATTTCACTGTCTCAAATCATGTAGCCCTCTAGGTTGATAGGGGATTGTGTACAGGAGCACTGGGTAAACCTTTGTGCAGGTTTTAGCAAGACATTTCATACCTCTATCTCAAAGTGCCTACACATCACTTTATATTTGCCCTGATTCTTAGACCTTTCTGCATCCTTCAGTAGTCTCTGTGGTGGCTTTCAAGAACAGGATACTGGACCTTTACTCTGCAGTTTTCTTTGTTTCTTTGTTTCCCTGAAAGAGCAGAAATCTGACTTTAGGATGACATAACTAGAGTAACTATGTTACTATCCTGTCAGACTCTTCCTAAAACAAGAGCCTGAGTCAGGCTAACAAACTCAGGTTTGAGCACTGGAAACAGGGGACTGCAGTTTTTAGTGAATCACTTACCAGACCAGAAGAAATGGCTGCTTAGAGTATGAATATCCACAAAGTTGAAAGTAAGAAACCTCCAAAATTCATCTTCCTTCTGTCTCTGAGGGCAGCTGAGAGGAAACTGCACGTTGGTGGTTGGTTTTGGTGTTTTTTTTCTCTTCAACTAGAAGAACTTGTCTCAGTCGAAAGACAGGAGAAAGCAAGCTCTGAATATGATCTCACTTATTTGAATATTCAAGAGCGGGTCTACATTAAACAGATATATATAAAAGGACCATTCTTCTCACAGAGAAATTTCTTTCACTGTGGCAATGACAACTTTATTTTGTATGCACCTGTTTGTTTAACTGCATGAGGAAGCTTTGAGGACACATAGCATTTCCAGGGGCAGCTTTTACAATTTAAATTTTCTGTTTTACAATGGGAGCAGCTTTTCTGAAGATCTGGTTGAAGGAAGAAGTGACACCTTGAGATATCAGTCAGAATATAAAATGAACAGGAAAAAATGCAGATTTAGCAGCCATTTCCTCGGGGCTACCTGAGCTGAAGAC